ATTTAGGCGTGTTGCTGTTTTGGCATCACAAAAGCTGGGAACATATTATGTAACAAAATATATTAATCTTATTAATATACAAATAAAAACAGAATATTTAGCACTAGATAAAATAAGTAATGAATTTATTTATTTATTTTAATTTAAAGAAAGGGCTGAAAGGAGAACTCCTGTGTTGCTGTTTTTGCATCACAAAAGCTGGGAACATAGTCATTTTATGTAACAAAATATATTAATCTTATGAATATACAAGTAAAAACAGAATATTTAGCACTAGATGAAATAAGTAACGAATTTATTTATTTATTTTAATTTAAAGAAAGGGCTGAAAGAAGAAATCCTGTGTGGCAGCACTTTATACAGCCTCATCAGACAAGGCTTAGTTAATAAATGTTTTTTTAGTTTGTTTTGTGTTAAATTAAGACTTGTGTAACATTTGTTATCATTCTTATTTTTATCATGTTAATGGAGGGAGGAAGAAAAAGTAGTATCGGMTTCAAGAATCGGCCAAAAAATATCGGCTGCAGTGTTGTTTTAGTCACTGTGTTTATGTTGTTTTTTTTCGTTATTCAAAATACTGTGTGTTAGATGAGTTTTAATGGTGCAACTTCAAACTAACATGTAATATTCTTTTATGCTATTTTAACCAGACTGTACCTGGCTGCAATGCATTTCAAAGAAAATGCACATCTGCAGGCATCTACCTCATCTGGAGAGCCCATGTAGATTATTCTTTCCCAAGTTAAAGAAGGGAGAAGGCCCAGCAAAGCCGATCAGAACTCCTGAAACCCTAAGTAAGTCTTGCCACATTAGTCACTTTTAGTATGCCAACTTGATTTCAATAAATCAAAATCACCCATACTTTAATTATATCTCCCTTATTCAAAGTCATGTCACAAGGGCATGTGATGTGTGAAAGTGTTGAATGAGAAATTTTTTCCTCACAATGTTAAACAAAAATTACAAAAAATAAGTGACACTTTACTGTTTCTACTATGCAAAGACTGTGTACATTTTAATGTTGTTGATGTTTTCCAGACTGCCCTGTGGATTCATCTCCAGTTGTCCCAGACAAGGCCAGCATTTCCACACCACCTCCTGATGCACGTGTCTTCACTACACGTMCTGATGTCTCATCTTCACACCACCCTCTGCACCACATCTGAACTCAGTCCACACCCAGTKTGAGRACCCTTCACAACAGGATCACAYATACTTCCACACATCTCGCAGAAAGGACGTGCAGGACAAGATGACTCAGTGTGATGATGTTGCATATTTGTGACCCATCATGTCAAAATGAGGAACAAGTCGAATTTGGTCAAAATGACCTAATTACATTTTAAGATTCTTGGCTTTAAAAACCACATTTTGATACCTGGATCATTCTGATATCGTAATTAAATCCATATATATGACGTAATTGGTCTTGTTGCTTACAATAATACATAAATATTTGGTCTGAATCCAAATTTGATGTAATTTTACTGAGGAATTTTTGATGTCCTTTTAAAGAGGAAACCTCAAATTTTATTTGAAGATTGAGATTTCCCAGCTAAAAAGAAATAAAACTTAGCTAGCTCACAGGGAAAATCTTTAAATTTTAAGGCGTTTTTCCTCAAAATCATTTTTTTTGTTGCTACTGCTCAAAATAGTGCTTCCTAATTTTGTTTTATGATTATATTTCAGAC